TTTACCAGTGCAAATCTACTATCACAAAGGTTTTCATCAAAGCTCTCAAAGCTTACCATTCATAGATGATTAGTCATGCTCTATACTGTTATTTGATACTGGAACAGGACTTCATTAATTTGCAGGCATTTTTAATGCACTGCACAAGGTCAGAGATTACTAGTTTCCCACAAATGAACTTTACTTCCTCCATTTAAAAGGATTTAATGGAAAGTAATATAAATGTTTCTACTTAAGAGCTGCTCCGGCTGATTGCTGGAGCCAAGTGCTGATCCCAGACCACCACCTTCTGGAACTCCGCAGAATCACAGCACCACCTCGGAGACTGCTCTGCAGGAGTCTGAAAAGGACTGGAGACCCAGGGAGTGGTCAAAGGAAATGTCATTCATTGCACATTTGTCCTGCAAGTTGCCAAACAGCTGTTGGTGAGTGCCATTCAAACACTGGTTACCTGGCTAGGAGAACTTTGATCTGACCTGGAACAGACACATTTTTTCCCTTATGTTATTTAGTAGAATAAACAATAACAGAATTTCTTAAATATAAAAGCGAGGATTTGCACAGAATTTTCTCTTACCAGTAAAGTAACACATGCCCCATCTCCAGCTCCCTGCTGTCACAGACAGGGTGTGTACCCAGGACAGACACACCAGCAGCACAGTGTGACTCTCCTGACTCAGCAGGTCTCCCCACCTACTCCATCTGGTCCTCCACAGGCATGTCTGGCTCAAGTACTCTGACAGGCTCATCAAACCAGCCTTACACCATGCCATGCAGCTTTACACCTGGAATATCATGAGGAAGTTTTTGGTGGGTAATAAGAGAAAGCTAGAGTATGGTTAGGGTGATAAGCTCAGTGAGAGACTTTTCACTCCTTCTGAAGTGGGCACCTTAGAAAAAAATATTTAATTTCGTTTAGTTACTTTTAATCAGATAATCTTTTGGGGAAACAATACCCATAAACCCAGTAACTATTTAACAGTTCATAGAGAGGGCTTTCAAGTGCATTGGCTCAATAGTAAATTTGTTTCACAGGGTGCTAGTGATATTCCAATAAGTCACACCATAAGAGATACCCTGATCATATCTAAGTCAAGTACAAAAAGTCATATTGACTGAGCAGAGGATGTATTCGGCTTTAGAAAACATGGAGCAAAGTAGAGTAGGTCCTCACTCTGTCTTATAGTCCATGTGGGTACCTCTAAGATATAGCTGTGACTTTATTCTCCTTTCTCTAGTCACTGTTTATCTGCTGACATTTCAAAGGAGGTTTTGTTCACTTAGAGTGTCCTAGGTCAGTTCCCACCAGTGAGCACAGCTGACTCCTTCTGCCTGGTTAGTGGTCTGACTTCTCCACACGTCTGAGCTTGGTACTAACCTTCCAGACAGAAGCAGATGGAACTCAAAATAATGTAAGGAGTTAGTATTGTACTTTAAATAGTACATAGCATTGTATTTTAAAAGCTTAACAACCAAATTATTACTAGTGGAGTTCAAATAGAAGCTGGAAAAGAAAGTTTATGTTAATTTTGGCTTCCTTTCTCTAGATTGCATCTGTACCAAGTAATACTGAGGTGTGAATATCCAGGCTTGTGACACACTCGTGAAGAAAGCAGGGAAGCACAAATTAGGGCTGAAGCTGCTGCCTCTGCAATGCTAGCTGCTGGCAGAGCTCCTTACAGACGGGGGCACTGCTGCTCCAGGCGCTTTGCAAGGGGAGAGGTTCATCCTTCCTCCAAAGCACTGGTTGTGTCATTACGGCAAATGGATGCACTCACTTGCCAGTGTCCTCCGCAGGGGCGAGAGACGAGAAGATCTGCAAGCTGAGTCTCTGCTTGTGATGGTGATGTAGCACAGAGCAGGAGCTGTCAGCTGTAAGCACCCCTGAGCTCTCAGCCTCTGCACCGTCAGTTTTCAGCTCTGCTCTGCACCTCAGTAAATAACATCTACATAGTACTCGAATATGTTTCACCCACTCTCTGTGGCTTCACCACAGCCTTTGCATTCACCTAATGAATATCAATTAGAAGGAAAAGAGTTTACTACCCTACATACAGCAAAACACTGATGCAAATGTAGGCAAACGAACATGCAAAAAGAATGTCTGTGTTTCTGATACTCTCTCTTCATCATTTTTCTGGACGACTAGAAAACTTTCCAAAAAACCGAACTACTTCTGACAGAATAAAAAGTCAGGAATACTTTGCTTAAATTAAAGAATAGTGTAAATTAACATATCAAAGCTACAATCTTTATCTGCTGTCTATACTAGCCTCTAACTCTTTTTATTTTTTGTGGCTTTGCTGTCCTTAGCCAGAGCTGCTTTCATAGGCACTGCACAGGGGCCATGAGGAATTTTGAGACATTTATTTCTTCTAAAGAAGCAATACAGAAAGCCAGTGACTCAAGCCCACCTCCTAAATTTCAGGGGTTTTTGGCAGCATCTGAGCTGTGATATATATACCATAGTTGATGCACAGAACTGTGTTCACCTAGTGCTCAGATCTACATGGGGAAAGGTGTTTTGCTAAAGCATTGGCCTTACTTTCTTTCTGATAGATGTAGAAGGGAGAAGATGACACCTCTTAAACACACAAGACACCATGGTTTTCAGTGCATGACACCATGGCAGCTGTGGACACCCATCTCAGAGGAGGTGCCTGGCTTTTGTACAACTGAAAGCGAACTAGGCCCCAGGCAAATGTACATAGTGCTATAGGGAATATTGTGCCACACATGGGACACAGAAGGAATCCACTGCCACGTGTTTCTCCCCCAAATTCCCTGGCTGCATACCTGCAGTGCGCCTCATTCCCAGGCTAATGTATTGCAAGAGTGAAACTGAATGAGTAATCCCCAAAGCCCATCACCTTCATCTCAGGAGCACAATGAAAGCACAGGACCTAGTTACAGCAAATGGGCAGATAAAACTGTGAGTATTTAGTTAGGTAGAGAAGGGTGGGGGATTCAGTAGCAGTGTTCAGGGTCTGAAATCCTGTGTACACAGGGGACAAAGGCCCTCTTGTCACATGCATAAAGCAAAGGTCACTTTTGTGGTCTTTCAAAGGTCACTAGAGGAGACAATATGCAAGTCAAAATTCCTGATCAGAGATGTCTCCAGTGCTTCCTCCATGAAGTCCGTGGCAGCTGTTTGAACAGAGTCAGTGTATTAGGCTAGACTAGACTGGACTTCACCTGCTGGTGCCACCTCTGGAGCCAATCTCTCACCAAGGAGATGCCAGTGAGGAGCTGATCATCTGCATGAGTAATACTCTGCTCCCAGATTGCATAGACAGCACTTGCCACACAGTGGGTCCCTCCTCAGTTTAACAAAGTTGGCCTGAGACAAGGCAAGGCAAACCACAAAACAATCAGCAGTAGAGAAAAAAGAAACAGGCTGTCTCTGAATCCTCTGTCCCTCCACATGCCTCTTCACAGTTAATGAGATCAGCAGATCACAGTGCCACATTCTGGAGAGTTTCAACTTTGGGGTTTCATTTCAAGCAGCTGCATCTATGATGCTTCCTGGACCATGCGACCCTTTCCCAAACACATAGTTTGAATTTATGTTCAGAGGCAGGTTCTTGGGATATGAATGAGCTCCAGATACAACTCATGTTGTATCCACATGTAGGATAAATAAATAGTAAATAAAGCATAGGGGCTTCTTAGGCTGAATGAACATAGGTATAGCTTTAGTATAGGTCCTGCCTGCATTTTTGGACCCAAAGTATCTTGCCTTTCCTAAGTTTCACATATCGCTTTGCCTTACTTAGCAGTAATGATGTATCTCTTTCAGTATACCAGTGCTGAGTAAACTTATTATACGCCTCTCATTCACAAATCAGTGCTAGTAATCTAGTGTTCAAGGTAAATTCCAAGTCAGTACATTTACCATTATTTCTTTCATGGAAAAAACATAGCAAAAAGTAAAGTTTACCAGGGTCCCTTCCCCTTAAAGTAAAAGGTCTGAGTTCTCAACTTAGGAAGGCAGAGGCCTGATCAAAAACAAAGTGTGAAGACAGTTTGGCAGATACTGGGTTTAACGTTATGGACCCTGGGTCTGACATCCCCCGTTGCCATGGATTAATCCAAGCCAGCAGCTCAGCCCCATGCAGCCCACAGTGGGACAGGGGAGAGAACTGGAGGAGTAAAAGTGACTTAACTCATGGGTTGAGTTAGAGATAGTTTAATAGGGAAAACAAAAGCTACATGCTTTGCTACAAGCAAAGCAAAACAAGGGATTTATTCACCACTTTCCATGGGCAGACAGGTGTTCAGCCATCCCCAGGACAGCAGGGCTCCAACACTCACAATTGTGACTTGGGAAGACAAAAGCCATCACTCTGAACATCCCCTCATTCCTCCTTCTCCCTCCAGCTTTACATGCTGAGCATGCCACCACATGGAATGGGATACCCTGTAGTCATTTGTGGCAGCTGCCCTGGCTCTGTCCCCTCCCAACTCCTTGTGACCCCTCCCAGCCTCCTCACTGGTGGGGTAAGGAGAGGAAAGGGCCTCGACACCGTGTGAGCACTGCTCAGCAGTAATTAAAACATCCCTGTGTTATCAACTCTGTTTCCAGCATAAATCCAAAACACAGCTCCGCACCAGCTGCTGTGAAGAAAATAAATTCTACCGCAGCCAAAACCAGCACAGCTGTGCACCGTGTATCCGCTGCACTGTGCTGCTGTAGCTAACTCCGCTTCAGCCGCAGGGGTCATCCCTTCATTGTCCCTTAACCACCTGTGACCGGGCAGCACCAAACTGAGGAAGGAAAGCGCGTTCTCCGCGCTGGTGCTCACTCAGGCGGTGCCTGAACGCATCGCTCGGCTCAGGCACGGGCGGAGCGCGGGCGCAGGGCTGTGGCCAGCGGCGGGCCGCGGGTGGCGAGCACGGCTGAGCGCTGGCCCGGCGGGCTCCGCACATGCTCCGTGTGCCAGCCCGGGCCGCTCACACTGCCCTCGCCGGGCTGCCAGAGCGGCGGCACCTCCGAGCCGCTCCCAGCCTCTTCCACTCGCTGAAGACACGGCATTTTCCGGGATCTCAGATAAGCTTCCAAGGGCATCCTTTTAAGAGAGTGCATAACAGAATATAATGTTTCCATCAGGCTCTTGCCTTGGCAACAATCTGCAGCCGTAAAGCGAGTTTAATTCTCTGAGAGGAAGACTGGTGACAGCTATCGCTTCACTGTGTACTGTAATATATGAGATTCTACCCTGAAAACCCTGGAGGTGGCATTTGTCTGGTCTGGTTGTAAATAGTGATATAGATCACAATGGATTTCAGTTCCTCATCCGTGTTTGACCAGCACAAAGGTAAGTCACGTGCTACTAATTTGAAAATCCTCTGGTCCTCCAGTGCGTCCCATGCAAATATACTGAGATAACTTGACAGAATCAATAACATAAATTTTGGGGAAATATTAGGTTTATTTTGGTTTCATGTAAAGGAATTTCTTCAATCAGTTTTACACTGGATGGGTATTTCAGTCTATTGCTAGAGTCGTTTCTAAAAATTTATTTTCAGCAGAATAGCAACAGCGTCTGGCTACTCTTGTGGTTAGCACTGAGAGATTATATATATATATTTATTTTTATATTCTCTATTGGTCTTCTTGTGGTTATAGATATTAAAAACTGTTGCAGTACTAGCAAACAGAGCATTTTAAAATGGAGTAAAAAATTTAAGAATTTTTCATAAGTCTTCACTAAAAGGACTAGAAGCTGACAAGTAAAATACCTTGCTTTAGGAAATTTATCTGTGTAGGTGAGTATTGCCGTAATTGCAAATTTAAGATATCACTAAAATCCCCAACATGATGATTTTCTACATTGTAAGGTTGCTATGGAAATACAAATGTCTCTTTTTTTGTCTATTTTGAAGTTAAATGTCATGTCTTTATTTGCCAATACAAGCTTTTATGTCTTACGGCTTAATCCACTACAAGTGTAGCGGCATTCCTTTTACGTTCCCGAAGCAGGACGCTGTCACTACTTGATTATGCCTGTTGCAACAAATTTCTCTTTTAAGTTGGCTCACCAAACAATATGTGTGCAGTGGCCACAGTTTCCAGTGCAGATCTGCAAAATATCTGAGCTGACATGGTCACACAGACCCCACAACAAAGGGGCTGACTGTAGAACAGAAATGAAAGGAGGAGGAAGACAAGGCACTGCCCTTTGGGCAGCTGAGTGCTACAAGCTGTACTTTTATGCTTGCCTACACTTCTTTGGTGAACCCAAAGTGAATACAGCCCATATGAAGTGGTGGGTTTATGGCTGCCTTTCAGCCGCAGTAGCACTCAAAGCCTGAGCAAGTCCTGGGAGTACTGGTGTGCATCAACCCAGCTGGGACCCCCAGGTAGTGAGGGATGAGTGCGAAGTAAAACTGAGTGACAAGAGAGAAAAAAACTCTCTACCAACAAGTATAATGGAGAAAGGGAAGTGCAGTGGTAGAAGAGGGCTCTCTACTGGAGGAGAAGAGAGAGGTATCCCTAAATCATGTGTGGGTAATGTAAGGAGCATTTTTCCCAATGGGACAGAGGCACGGGGCTAACGGAGCTTCTGCAGCTCCAAACAGCCATTCCAACCTCTGCTTCTGCAGCACTATGCATGTCCTCTGTGCCACATGCTGACCCAGCAGGGCTCGGAATGGGGAGACAGAGATAAAACCTTGCATGCTCAGTACCATCGGGATGGCTGCCAGGGAAGTGGAAGTGGTGCTAGGATTGAGGGTGGAATATCACCAGGACTGGGGAAGGCAAAGCCAGGTCTCCAGATGGTTTAGGAGGCAGAAAGCAATGCAGGAGACCACGGACCCAGACCAGTTTATCCAGATAGAAGGGATAGAGATGGGAGGCAGCATCTGCCCCTCAATCTGCATCCCCCTCCTGCTGCCAAGCCACTCTCCATGCTGGCCCATCATAATTTCTTTCCATCACCTGCAGCCTGTGTCACTCTCCACCTACATGAACTCCCCTGCCAGAAGGTCCCTTCACTATACATTCATCATCTCTGCTTCACCAGTGCTGCAAGAATGCTTGCTCATTAGGTGATTTGTGATTTACTGCGTGCCTTCCCTCCTAGCTGTGTGGGAGGTGGATGGGGAGCAGGAGCACAAAACACACAGTAATGGGATCCTGAGCTCATTGGTTACCATGCAAAGAACACTCTACTCAAAACTTACAGTGTATAGTGGGTTTTGTCTAAATACCATCTTAATGTGTTGAAACATTATTGATTTAAGCAGGCATAATTTTTTTAGCAAGCAGAAGGGGAATGTCTTTCATTGCAGCAATTTATAACAATGGAAGAATACAAACTATCTTTCAAACATACTAAATTTCTCTGTTGCTCCAAAAAAATAATTCAGCACTCTCCACAAACCCTTTTTTCTCCATCCCACACATCAGAAGACTCTCCCAACAATAAATTTTAAAAATCCCCAGCATTCCAAGCTTCCATACTGTCTCTTTGCAACACATCTTATGGTACTGCTCAATAATCTTAAAATGCTTAAAATAGTAATAGGAATGTGGGATTTACAGAAGGCAAGCAGCACCAGAAACTCCTTGCCTCCTAACATTGCTCGGTGCCATTTAAATAAACGTATGCTGTTCCTGATTTCAGATGTTCACTAAATAAACAGAGAAGCCAGACAAAGGCGTGTTCTGATGCATACACTGCCAGGCACACACAGGGATTATTACTTTGTTAAGTGTTGAATAAAAATGCAGTAGTAGAGAGTAAATTATAGTTTTCAAAAACTGCACTCATCCACCTCCCACCGACTCTTGACACTGATATGCTGAAAACAAATAAACTGCCCAGTATTGTATCCTGACAACAAGGTGTAGGAAATCACATATGGCCTTTGGCTAATCGTGGAGATGAGGGATTGAGAGGGATGAGAGAGAGGGTAGTAAATTACACGCATAAATATTTCTTCTTCACAATGAACGTGAATTCTCCTATTATTCTGTCTTCAGTTTTTAATATTTTGTGGTTTAGCAAGTCCAAAATGAACCATTGTCAAGAGCATGTACACCAAGCTCCAGCAAATTTATTTAGAGCTTAAAAAGCCAGTGGGCTAGAAAGAATGCACTTATGTACATTTAATGTGTACGTTGTAAGACAACACATCAGCCAACATCACAAATCATGTAAAACAGGCATTCTTCATAGTAGAGTCAGAGAAGAATTAATGCGATGAGAAGCACAATTTCACTGCTCTGAATCCTGTGATCATTCTGTATCTCTTTTTATATATCCTCTTTTCTGGCCAAAAGAAAACTACTTTGCCTTGAAGAAATTATACATTCTTAAAACACTGCACCTTATTTCAGATAGGTTGGTGTGTAACTTTGATTGTTTCTGCGGATTTTAGCATTACCATGTATGTCATTTAGTCTTTTCTTCCAGACCTTTCTACACCACTACTGTCAGCCTGCAGTTTCTCCCCTGCCTTTCTCTGTACCCAAGTACTTAAATAGATCTTCTGCCATTCTGAATCTGGCTGACAACTTCCTTTCACCAGTATCACAGCAATTCTCTAAAATGTAAAATGTATTTAAAATAGAACCTGTACTTACTGGCATTTGTAGAACTGCAATATAATAACGGAGTAACTCTAAAATATTAGATGAAGAGTCAGGCATTTGGTTCACAATCCCTTTCAGCTTGTGCCCTAGCCTCAGCCAAGCCCCCAGCAGGGTAAGCTCACAGAGCAGGGGACACAAGCACTCAGTACTTCACTGTTGCCTTCTGCAAAATACCCACTCTCAGAACCATTCCTCTTCTGCCCTGGAAGGTGTCTTCAAAAATAAATGTTCTACTAGGTTTGTGCCCATACTTCTCCATTCCTTGACAGGGTAAGCTGGAAGAAGATGAAGTGGTCATGTTGTTCACCTGGAGACAAGTGCATCCAGCACAAATGACATCCAAGCTCTCCTAGCATTTTCTGCTCTCTGTCATGTAAACCATCAAAAGATATGTCTTCCTTCTCACTCCCTATCCACAGTCATACAGATCAAGACACCCCACTTGAAGTTGTGTCACCTTACAGAAATGGAATTCATGTCAGTCATCTTTATTCAGATCTCAACATTAGCTCTCATCCATTCCTCCTGGCCCAGGCTCCCATGCGGGGTAACAACCTGCTCCACCTGCCTCTCCTTGCTCTGGCAGCTAGAACTCATGAGTGGGGAAGTGTGAATACTTGTGGCTTCATGCCACCATCCTTTAACAGGAATGGAGACTGTGTTCTGCAAGAAGAGGCAGGAGCAAAACTTCATTCGTTTTTCCATCCATCCATCCATCCATCCATCCATCCATCCATCCATCCATCCATCCATCCATCCATAGTTTTACTTTCCCTTCTCATGAAAAAGGATAATTGCTCTGGGGAAAGCAGACTGAGCCCAGCAGAAGCAAAGGGGAAGTGTCTTGGTTTTACCTAGAGGAAAAAGGGCATAGATATTCAGAGACCAACATGAAGGAGTGCACCCTTGTCCTCATCTTCCTGCCATAGCGCCCTCCAGGTAAGCTACTGCTCTGCCCAGGAGATGGAGATTACTCTTTTGTGGCTAGATTTCTCTGCTCCTGACTCACAACAGGAATACTTAACAATACCTGCATGGCAAAAAGAGTACAAAATTTACCTGTGTAATGTATCAAAGGAGGTGAGGGCCCCTTTGATTCACTGTCTGCCTCAGTACCTCTAGCAGTTTCTTTTCCAGTGCTAGCAGCATCTTCTCTGTACCATGCCCACAGAGTATCTGCACAGCTGCACACGACAGCAGCCATGAGAGGAGCCATGTCAGTGCTCAGGGCTGGCTGTACCTCCAGAGACTGGACAAGAGGAGCAACACAAGCTGTCAACCAGTCAGACCTGAGCTTGTCATTAACATGGTTTTACCGAGTGCAGCAATTGTGAGAGGCACCTTCAGGTCTGACATTATAAGGAAATACTACTAACTGGACCAGTAGTAAAGTAATTTCTTTCTCTTCATGTATTAGTCACTGATGATGACTCTTCGGCAGCAATGACTTCTCATCTCTCTGGATCTCCCAGGCCCACAGGACAAACTTTCTGAGCCAAATGAACAGTTGCCTCAACAACAGACCCCTCAGCAGAATGAAAATCAAGTTAACGTTTTTATTCACAAACTATATAAAGTGTGTAATTTGAAATACCAGTTAGAAGAAAGAATTAGATTCTCTTTAGTTCAGGAGAAATGGAGAGGAAATCTGTGGCAAAGGCAGGTTAATAATGGCTTTTAAATGTTCCCAAGCCCATAAACTGAGTTCCAGCTTTGACAGACTAACCTGTTCAAGGGTAAGAGCAGATTGTGTTTCCATGGCTGCCGAATTTTGAAGTCCAGAGTACTGATTGCACCCGGCAAGAGAAGGTCATGTGAAGAATTAGGCTAAGCTATGAAGCCAGCATAGAACTCATGCAGGTTCATCTGAGACAATATCTGATCATAACATGAGTAGTGCAGCTAATACTTTACAATAATATTTAGAGAGCTTTTATCACTCAAAAATATGAGTGCTTAAAATATAATTTCTACCAATGTGTTACAAATAATGTAATATTTGATTAATGATAACAGCTTTATAATAACTTTTCAACGCTCTTTAATCTCCCTTTTTATCTGCACAGCTTACATAGTCATGCTATCTCCGGAAGTTTGACAGTACAGATAAGTCACCAGTCACTTAATCTGTCTTTCCTTTGATCAGCTCTCTAGTGTGACTTAGGCATTTTATCCAGCTAGCACAGTAGTGCAGTGGATGGACAAGTGAAATGTTCTATAGCTCTGACCCTGGTTTAGCCTGTATTAGAGCTAATTTTCCTCTTACTAGCTAATACAGTGGTGTATTTTGCATTTAGTATAAGACTAATGTCGAAAACACAGTTTTAGTTGTTCCTAGTTAATGCTCACCCTAAATCCAGGACATTTCATTGTCCCATGCTCTGCAGAGATCAGGTGCACAAGAGGCTGGGGGAGCATGGCCAGGAGAGCTGAGCTGACCTGACCTGGCCAAAGGGATATTCCATACACAGACTGACATGGGCAGGGCAGGAACTGGGGGGAGCTGCAGCATGACTGGCTGGGCATCAGTCAGCAGGTGGCAAACAACTGCATTGTTCATCACTTGCTTTTCTTGGGTTTTATTCATCTCTTTCTCTCCTTTTATTACCGTTATTAATGATGTTCTTGTTCTGGTGGTGGTGATGGTAATGATAATGTGTTATTTCAGTTATTAAACTGTTCTTATCTTAACCCACCAATTTTACCATTATCTGATTCTTCTTCCCACCCCACAGGGGTCAGGGCAGTGACTGAACATTGTGAGCATCTGGGGGTTAAACCCCAACAGACCCTCAGCCATTGTGAATAGTACAGCTCACTTCAGCTGTACTTCTTTTTGAGTTAATAGGGATCAGAAACATGACACTTTTTCTGACCAACAATACCTGTGTAGTGCATTTTACCATTACATCTGATTTGACTTTCCACTGAAAAATCTGTTCTTTTGACTACTGGACTTAAGAGGTTAATAGTCCACTTGAAGCTAAAGGAGGTGTTTGCATGTGGAGCATGGGCTGACCAGTCTGAAAGGAAGTGAAAAGCAAAGAAGTGAAGAGAATCATCATTATTATTTCTTTAGAAAGAAAAGTCTGAGGAATGTTCCAGAACAGGTCCTGCAAGGCATCTGCTTTAAATAATAACTCACACTGTAGCTGCCAAACAAAATAAACTCCCGGGTTCCAAGCAATAGTCCACTTTTCCTTTTTGCAGGAATTATCAAGACAAACCATTGTTGCCAGAAGTTTATTCTCCTGAGAAGATAATTCCTTTGGACATTGCACGGAAGTGAAAGGCCTCAGTCTTCTGACTGGTGCAAGGTTTACACTGAAATTGAAAACACCTGAGTCCTGATTTCATCCTATCTCATAAAACTGCAGCCAGAAATATTATGAGCTAGTTCAGTTATTACATTTTCTCTCAAGTCATGTTACGTTAGTATGATTTCTTACAGAAACTTTCCAGAATTTTTCTTAAGTCCTTTCAGTGTCTATATTGGAAAGTTTTTGGAAGAAGTTATGATGAAAGCAAGTTTCAGATGACTAACAAAAACCACAGTGCTGTTTAGATACACTTTGTTCCACCCCAAGTTAACAGTCATTTAAAGTCTGTGAGACAAGTGTCATTATTTTCACTGTTTATCATTTGTACATGCTCTCTGTTTACTCATGCATGTGCTCCTTCTCTGCAGCTGATACAGCAGAAGAGATCGACTTGGCTGTGGTTTATCAAGCAGCAGCTAATGGCGATGTGAACACCCTGACTGCAGTGATCCGAGAGGATCCTTCCATCCTGGAGTCTTGTGACAGAGAGGGTAAATGAAGGCCCAGCTTGTTCTCAGGAGATCTGTTGCTTCAGCTTCCAAATTAAACTTTCCATTTTTTTAATTCTGATTTTTGTGTTCAGCAAATTATATTTAGTAGCAGAATATGGGAAATCTGAGTTATTCTTTGGAATATCCACTGGAAACACACAGTTTGGATAATTCCTTCCCCTTGTAATTGTAAGATATTTTTATATGATTACAAATAAGCTGGTTTGCTATAATTAGACAGTACTTTACCATTTATTTAGTTTATCTTATTTAGGGAGATGACTGAGAAACTGCTGACATTTCAGGGGAGGAAAAAGAATATTTTTACCAATGCCAAATGACATACATTCTGCACATCTCTAAAGCAGAGGTTATAGTATGTGTACAGTAACAGTTTGAATTACCAAAGGACTGGTTATACAACGGGCAGTTATCTAAATGATCTGTTTTATCTGTCAGGCTGTGCTCATTTTGTGTTCAAGTTACTATTTAATGTTATTACAAATTAGTGTACATTGGCTGGCTTTTATATGCATCTATTTCCTAAGTAAGAACCACAGACCTCTGGAAGCTGTTTTCAAGGAAAAGGGTTTTTTTTCAGAAGTGTTTTTTTAATTGCAGTTTCTTTCAAAGGGTCCATATGAACACTGTCTTTTCTAATCTTTAACAGTTTTTATCAAGCTACCGATTTTTGTTATACTTTAAACCAGGCGTTCTAACTGATATCTTTAAAACATCTATTGGTTAGTAGCGAAAATTTACTCAAGACAAAATGATCCCTGTCTGCTCATTAATGGGAGAAAGACTAAGTAAGAATGATGGGTGAGGTAGGAGGAGATGGGCTGCCAGGAGCACTTCAGCTCTGGAACTAACTTGTGTCCTAGGTTGTTGATGCAAATGTAACTAAAGACCAGTTTTCTAGCACAAAACATTCAGCTCATAGCCTGCACATTTGTCAGGCTCTGCATGACCTCAGGTTGAGTAGTACATTTCCTCAGCAATCTCATTGAGTCTAGTAAGAATAATTATTCTTCAACTATATATGAAGTTTCTAATAGTCTTATAGTTTCTAATACTTATGTTTATTCCCAGCCTAGTAATTTTAAATTGCTTTGTCAGATTCTGAAGGAAAATCTCTTGCTGTTTTTCAGCAGTTAACAGAATGGAAGGAAGAGGAAGCAATTAAATGATACAATACACAGAAATTTGAGCATTAGGTTTAAATGTTCAGAGGTTTTACAAGACAGAAAATTTTTGCAGGATATTAAAAAAGTTCTTATAAAAACAGGAAATAAAACATCCCAGAACATATCCAGATTTCAAATTAAATTCTCTGCATAAAGGGCCAACTCACACTTTTATACCTTTTCAAGGGACATAGATTGATTTGTCTTTTGAATACACAGACAGAATGAAGCTGGGGTTTGAGAAAAGTGGACAGGCACTATCTAGCTACTAGTCATTCTGAAGAACATCAGCCAAAATACTGTACAAAGCCAAAAGTTCATTTTGGGAACATAACAGAAAAGCACTTTTCCCTTCAGAAGCAGAGTTAATGAGGCAAAGTTTTTGCTAACATGGTCATGCTCTTTTTAAAATCATTGGTCAGTGACTGTCATAGAAGTTACCTCCTGACTTAAAAAAGCTGAGTACAACTATTGGACAGTTATCAGAGAAAGGATTTGTTAACTTGTCAGCGTTGATATTAGAAAATAAGAAATTGTAAAATAAATTTGGATTTTTTCCGTAGGTTGCACACCCTTGATGCATGCTGTGTCAGGACGCCAGGTTGACACTGTGAAGCTTCTGTTGAAGATGGGAGCCAATATTAATACTCAAGATGCCTGTGGACGTACCAGTTTATCTCTGGCAACTTATTTGGTAACAAGACTTGAGGGACAAGGATGGATTGAAGGGAATAAATGAAGACCAAATAAGATTTCTGCTTATACTACAGGGAAAAAAAGCACAAAACATTTGGTTCTAGATGGGAGTGGAATTGGTTTTGAAACTTTACTATGATGCAAAGCTGGAACAATTATTATTACAAGAGGATCAGGGCTCCTGTCAGAGACTCCTGTCAGAGACTCCTGTCAGATTATCCTTTCTGTCTCATAAAATCAGTGCATGATATGAGAATCTCCCAAGAAAATAACATTTTTTTTTTTTGTATAGTGAAAGTCCCCTCTTGTTCTTAATGTGCAAATTGACTTCTCCCCCCTGCATAGCCAGCATTAGATATTTATGCTCAAGTGAAGGCTTTCCTATTTCAAATTCTGGTGATAGCAGACATGTGTTCCTGCACACTGCATGAGCTGGGACATTGTTCCTTTTCTATGTGGTGTTGGACTTTGGATGGCCAGGCTGAGAACTCAAGTTTGAAGTGCTGCAGGTACCGGTGCACTTGCTCAGATTATAAACAATCCAGTCCCCTGATCAACCTATATGCAAGTGACAGGAGGGACAGACATCTCACTGAGACACTTGGGAAAGGAATTGTACTTCAAAATCCGAAAAAGCAAGGATAGTTCCCTTCTCTTTAGTCTTCTACTCCTTGCAGGAGGTAATTCAGGTTTCAGAGAGAAAGTGGGGACCATGTTAGCTGAGCAGACTGAGCTTCCACTATTAATTGGACAGAAAAAAAGGAGTGTGCAGCCATGACTGCATGGTATGAGTGAAGCTGGATGACTGCCAGCTCATTTAAACAGACACTGTGGCAGCCTAATTAAATTACATCCCTTGCACCTAGTTTCTTCCTGAAAATTCAGGACAAAAACAGTGTTCCTGTTTAGCTATGCAATGTTCAGCCAGAAAATAAGTGTAGAAAATAACAAAAACAAGCAGTCTCATCCAGTGCAAGGAGCGTGCCCCACTTACTTGAGAACAAACATTTCCTCTGCAAGATATTTTTAAAAAATCCCATAATAAGTGTCACGCTTCTTTTTTCCTTCCTCTTTTCCCGGAGGGGAACAAGTATTCTTTGGAAAAAAATAAATGACTGGAAAAGATTTAAACCACCCAGGCTTCTAAGTTTCCATTTCTGTTTCTGTGAGGAATATAACAAGAGATCCAGAGAGAATTCAGCTGTGATGTCTGTCCAGACAAATGAATTCAGGAGAGTTGCACAGTCAAGACTGCGTGTGGCATTTGGTGGTCTTGTACTTACACCAAGAGCTCCAACAGGAGTGTTCTGATTCCACCATTCCACACATTTTCCGCAGAAATGCTCGTAATGCCAATCCAAAATAGTTCATATGGGAGGGAATGGTCTTTATCAATTTCCTGCTGAGTTTTTAGAAAACACTTAAACTAATACTTGATTTTTCAGACTTAAGTATATGCTAAAAGATTTATGCAGTCACAACCAGACTGTTTACTTGCTTTTATGTTGAGGTGATCAATAGAAGGTTTTAGTCCAAGATTCATTCCATCTGTTTTGGTGCTATTTTCAGTCTAACACTGCCACTAATACAAACTTCTGCAACAACATTTATAAGACCACACTCTTAAGACTTTTTACCATTGATTTGCCATCTTTGCTAAAATCTCACAAACAAAATCATGTTGAGTGCTCGTGTTCTGGGTTTAATCTAGACTGATTGAATTCACATGCAAGAAAATGTGTAGCATTTGCTAGTGATAAATGAATTAGCAGGTTTTTAATCACTGCTTGCCACAGCTGCAAACAAACAAACAAACAAAAATAAGCAAAAACAAATAAAAAATACAGTGTAAATGAAACACCTCATCAGAGAAATGAACAACTGAGGTAGTTTCCCCAACAGGGAACTACTCTCAGTGCTGAGAAACCTCCACTGAGGAAAAAAAGTCCAGCTCCTTTGCTGACAGAAATGGCTACAGTCACAAGTGAATGCCATCACAAACAAGAAAATATCTGGCCTTATACTTTTCACTTTCCTCTTTGATATACTCCAATTTCTCTTTTAGGGTTGGCTGGAAGGCTGTGTCAGCCTGCTCAGGAATGGTGCTAAGCAGAACATACCTGACAAAAACGGGAGGTTGCCACTACATGCTGCCACTGCAGAGCCTGACGTGAGGTATGTGCCTAGCTCGACAGCTTTTGCTGCTGAATCTCTCAGGTAGCCAGCAACCCAAGGAGAGCCCACAGTAGGAATAACAGTTGTGACAGCTACACTTGTGACCTGTGTCTTTGTTTAGTGGTTACCGTGAAGGGGGTAGAGAGGAGGAAAAACATTGTGCCATACTTGTGTACCAGAGATCAATGGCTGGGTAAAGTGAGGAGCTTGTTTTAATAGCAATAGCTGGAGGAGGGAAAATAATTATAAGAGAGGTTGAAACCCTGAGTTTCCCCTGCCCAACTACCTTTCTGTCTTACCCACATGAAATATTACAAGTGTTCCTGGACTTCTGCATGGCAAATGTGAGAAAAGTTTTCCACAAGACCACCTCTCTGAAAATCCCCAACCATAAAGGGGAAGTTAAGGATTGGTGGTCTGGCTCATTTTTAACTACTTCTATTGGGGGGTTAAGTAACAGTTACAGAGTGTCTTCACAAGAACTCTTAAGAAAGATTCTCTTTTTCTGATTCCAGCCTGTCACAATAGGAAGGTTAAATAAATTTTTATTTGTATATCTGAATAAATTCACTCCAAAAATCCCCTAAGTAAATCATGCCTGAAAGTATAGGAAGACATTAGGAACAGGTAAAACATTCAGTACATGCAATATATTCATGTGACTTAATCACTGAGTCTACAGATTTGTTGCTGTAACCATATCAGACGAGCTCAGACATCTGGCCATTTCTGCTGATCTTGTTCTCCAGCCTTTTTAGCAGCTTTATTCATTTTCTACATTATCTTTGCTTTTCATGCATCACTTGGAGAGAATAGTTTGAGATTTCTGCAAAAAAAGGTCACTATCATTAAACAAAGCCAACACGAGAAAGAAGACATGTTTGTACAACACCACACGTGTTGCTACTTGAAAGGGAACACTAATCTTCTCTACCAGGAGCACACTGGATCCCCTGAATGCTCTTCACACTCTCCAAGGATACAGACAGACCTTTCTTTGCTCTGCACAATTGTCCTTTTCCTCTGTCTTCCCATTGTGTTTGCCCCATGCCCAGACACAGGCCTGGAGCACTGATGGGGAAGTTTTTCCATCATGCTCATTGTCAGTCCCTTGAATCCTATGTCATTGCCAAAAAAGAATATGCAATGGCCAGTTGTGAAATGCTTTTGCAGCTAAATTTGAAAGCTGGCAGTCCACTGCTACAACCTCGTGCTGGAGGCATCATGGAAAGACAGAGCCAGTTAATGTATTGATTTGATAATTGATTTATGTGCTTCCCATGCATTCCACAAAGCCTAACAGGCAAGTGGAAAGAGAATCCATTCCTGATCTATGCCTTTAAGAGTAGATAGCAGAGAAGGTTCAGCTGCTTGCTTGAGTATCTACATATTTAAATAGTAGCCCTTACGTTGCCATAATGGTCTAATGATGTAACTGAGCCAAAGTTTGTTGATTATAAAGATTCTAGTCAGATTTCTTTCACATGCAGTAGTGTCATTGATCATATCTGGAGCTGAACCACAGAGCCCTGTAGTAGATTATAAAACTATGTTATAAATTGGTTCTACAAGCCTACTATAATTATCTCACTTTCTTTTACCTCATTAGTTGATATTTACCAAGACCTGTTTTCAGACACTGAATTTCTGAGATTGTGAGTCATTTTGCTAAATGACAACAGAATCTTTCTTCACTTTTACAAACTTCTACCAATCACAACAATCCTCGTGTCATTGTTTTCACAGTTCCTACAGTATGACTTCATTTAGAAAAGGTGTGACTCCTCTTTTCTACAAGAATTTGTCCTTTGAATAATTTAGATAGGTAATTCTTTATTACCAGTAGGGAAGAACAAATTTGACATGAAAAGTTCTCAGCTTAATCTAATGCACACACCTGAGCACAGTTCATTCCAGAAAATACACTAGAAGTGGCTGAAGGTACAAAGCAGAAAATATTTTCATTCAGTCTCCTCTGCATGGGAATAAATGTAGGATTTTATGCATTTGTTTCTGTGTTACCTTTACATTTATCTGATTTCCTTCCTTTATACTTCATTATCTTTTACTTTCCTTGAATGCCTTCTTCATGTCCATGTTCTGAAGGTTTCTAGCACATTCACACCTTCAGATGAGCCACAGGTTTGCACAATGATCCACTGAGGATATATTCCTCCTTTTGCTAGAATCCTAAGAACATCCTGTACATTCACATTAGGATTGGCTTTGTTACAGCATGTGACTAGATGATGTTTTTCATTTCCATGGTCTAGCCATGTACATGATCCAAACTCTTAGCATCCTGCTATAAAACACAAGCATCTTTGTCAAACCTATAGTGATTTCAGAACATATTCACAAGATAGCAAAAGGAAAGTGTTAAAAATGCTATTGTACTTGAATAATATTTAATGTAACTACTTTATTGTTCCCTCCACCAGAGGGGAGTGTTTGTAGTCCAACATTCTATAAAATGTGAACCTATGCATTACTGTGTTTTATGCCATAATAATGGCCCTATTCCAGCCAACATTCTGTAAGGCCTTGTAACATACTGGGGTTTGTGTGTGTAAATATACAGCAAGCATCCATATATACACATATACACACAAATGTGTATGTTGCATACATTACTTCGAGAGTTAGAGTGAAAAATCCTTACAGAAGCTGGCATGTCTGGTTACTTTAGGACATTATAAAGTATGTTGGTGGCAAATTGCTAAGCTACCAAAACTGCACACATGGACAGTATTATACATTCTGATTCTAGCCTGGCAGTGAGCACAAGAGTTATTCTGTGTGGATCTTCTTTTAATTCCAAGCTCTAAACTTCTGTTGTTACCATAATCCATAAAGTCCTATTTGTTTTGCTCATATGACAAAGCTCAGACCTAAGATTCTGACCTGTGCCCATCACTAATACTGAGTTTTCATGAAAGTGCACATTTTGTTTTTTAAACAAGTGTCGGTTTTTCAAATTTAGTCAGGAGTACAGCACACTGATTATATCATTGCTTCCACAGGCTTCTGAGCTTGCTTCTGCAGCAGTCAAATCTTAGTGAAATTAATCACCAGGACAATGAGGTGAGTGAGCTTGTGCTACAAGTCACAGCCCCTGCCACTGGGGGCATAGAAGCCATTCAATTTTACAATAAGGCTATGCACTAGTCAAAAGTTTCTATAATGCTTTTGCCGAACTCTGCAAAGTATTATCTCATTCTTCCTTCTATACACTATGCACCTGTAGACTAATAAAGCTTCTGTCTATTCAGCCAGCTATGAGGTACCTTGAATCTGTCTCTTAAATCATTTGTCAAGAAAATAATTGCCCTCGATTCTTTTGAATCGAGACATTGGACCAAATTACCAATCATAAATGTTCAAGGCCAGGCTGGATGAAGCTCTGAGAAACCTGGTCTAGTGGAAGCTGTCTCTGCCCAGGGCAGGCAGGTTGGAACCAGATAATCTTTAAGATCCCTTCCAATCCAAGCCATTCTATGATTCAATGATTCCTTGATCCCACCATTCAATTACTGTTCTCAGGAAAAGTGTCAGAGAACTGGAATTACAGAGAACAGTCATGGAAGCACAAAAATTTATGCTGTTGTCTTCCATGTGGAATTGTGTCCTGCATGTATATATATTGTACATAGGAAAGAGTTAACTTCCCACATTGAGAGACTTGCCACATCCTTCTCCAAACAGAGAAGCTGAGACACAAGAGAGATTCTGAGTGTCTTTTCATATGTTTCTCTTAATTCTAACAGTTGCTCAAGGATATGTCTCTTTTCCACAGTGGCATTCTTTTCCAGAATGGCCAGAGGGCTGTTAATTTTTCCTCTTCCTTACCCCCTGAAAGGTTTGCAGACTTTGCTCACAACACCCTAAACCAGACATATGCATTGTCTTGATGTAGAACTATGTTGCTAATGAATTGCATAGAACAGTGGATCATCATTTAGAGCCATATATTTTGCTGTAATGCACTGCTACATGCAATTTAGAACTTTTAGTCCATCTCATTGTCGTTTGGCACTGACAATATATTTGTTCAAGTGTCAATACTAAGCCCTGAATACTCATGTTTTCTGAAAAATGTGGATCCTCATAAATGATTACAACTAACAGAGCTGTTCTCTTGGCATAAGTAAAACACTTCAGTTTTCCCATTTGACACTTGAGAAAAACACCCTGATGAATGCATGAACACATAAACAGTAAGAAATACATCTGGAGGTTTCATAGCTTCCACAACTGTGTCTTTCTGTGGGTTTATTAGTGAAGCCTGTGAGATGACAATGTGGAGAAACACTGCCTGTAAAAGCCTTGAATCTGAGCAAAACAAGTGCCATACTATATTTCTCAAAGCCATTTCTTGGGGTTTGTCCTTTTATGTCCCGTGATGCTCCTTATTTTTTATGAATGTGCAATTGTTTGACTGTCTCACCTCTAAGATTGTATTCTGCTGGACCTTCAGCTTTGGCAGTTCTATACCACCTTCATGCTTCCACCCACAAACAGTAGTCTGTCTACCTACAGATGCCACTAAGGGTGGTAGGACAGAGCACAAATGGTGTGGGCTAGGCAGCTGTTGCCCACTGTAGAAAGTCCACACGAGTGAGCTGCTGCCACAAACAGCTCTTTGTTCAGTTGGGCACTCTGAAAGGCCATGTGGAATGTACAAAGTATGAGAAAGGAAATGGAGAAGAAAACAGGAAGCTCTGTTTGAATCCTTTGTACAGCCACATGGGTGCAAGAGTAAACTGAAAAAAGATATACAAGAAAAGGAACAGAAAAAGGACTACAAAGATTATGATAATAGTTACAGAGCAGCTTCCTTACATGGGCAGGCTAACTAGAGCAAAGTAACTAGGATAGGACTTCCAGCTTGGCAACTGCATCAGAGAGATGATATAAACTCATGGTATCATAAATGGCATAGAAATGAAAAGAGAATTATTTTTAACTGGTCTAGGGGTTTTGCATATAAAAATATCAGGACTTCTGCAAAAATTATCAGTCAATAGTTTCAAAGAAAATTTAAAAATACTTCTTCAGAAAATGAATCATCACCTTTTAGAGGGCTGGATGTCATATGAAGTCTTTAGTCTTATTACCAAGTATTAGGTGGCAGTATATTTTCAAGCCTTGTTGCTTATATTTTTGCACTGAGTATTACTGTGTTTTGTCTCTGCACTATAGAGATTTTTGAAAACTATCCCCAGTTTTACCCTCTTATGTTACAGCTGATTCTGCCTGCTACCACCAGTAGAAACAGAAAGTTGATTTTTCAAGGATGTTTTTTGGCCATATCAACACACTAAGAGAGGATGACAGAAAGATGGCCTGGTACACTGTGGTTCCTCCTTCTTCCATTTTCATGCTCTCCTGGACTAGTGATGAGTACTCATTTCCCAGCTTCCACTTCAGTGTAACCTCACAGATAATATGTGACAATCAACAGTACTAACTCCCTCGTGTATACTGACATCAATGGCAGAGCTCCTGTTAATTTCTGTTGGTGCAGGAGTTTACCCTCAATTTTGGTTTTACAAAACTGAAACCCCCATTATTAAGCTTTGTAAACCCTAAGTAAAACCAAAACTGCTCTCATTCAACTGCTCTGTTTTGTTATCACCCAAACTTAAGCCACATGGGAACTTAAAATCTTATAAGATACATGATGAGTGAGAGAAATGAATGCTAAGGCATTCAGGCTTTTCGTCAGAAAATCACTGCAAGCAGCTTCCATTTTAATGCACTGATAGGTGTCTGCATCAATATAGCTCATGTTTTACTTGGGTTGTTACCAACTGGCTTTATTGGGGTTCTATTTCAAGTTTTAATTGCTTTTCTACTCAACTTTTTTTTTTTGGTTGGTTGGTTTTTTGTTTGGTTTGTTGTTGGTTTTTGTTTTGTTTTGGTTGTTTTGGTTTTGGGGTTTTTTTTATGCTTTTTTCCTTTTGCAAATCAGGCAATACCCTTGAAATGCATTTTTTTCTGGTAAGAGGGAAAACAGCCCCTGTCCAAAGGAAAATGTTACCACAGCTAGCAAAAAAACAAAAGCAATTTGTTAGAAACATAATAAATTAGTCAATTTATACAAAAAATCTTAACTATTATGGATATAGTGTAAAATACAGGTGAGTGTAACAATGCTGAAGGTACAAATATAGGCTATGAATTCTCTGATCCGTTAAGAGTGACTGAATGCAGCTAAGATGGAATGAAAATGCAGCTGAATACCTTACCATTTGCTTTGTTTTCTCCCTGAAGAGTAAATATAAAATGTTTATATTGTGACTTTTTTGTGGACATCACTCTGTCAGTTCTTTAGCTTGCTGACTAGTGCCAGCTGCAGTAATAATATTTATTTTGGATTAAAGACCAAACATAAATATCACACTGTGTAATGCCAAAGCACCAGTCTAAACCAGGCTTTTCTTGCAGGATTCAAGCTGAGCAGTGAGGAGCTGTCCCCCCAGCCATCATGGCCCTGACCACATGTTATTTATAATAGGCTATATGCCTATAGAGGAAGCATTTGTATTTGTATCCATTTTCTGTAATTATTCCAAAAAGCTAATTGCTTGGTTCCTTCTTAGGACTCCACTAACTCAGAAGCTGCTACTAACTGTTTCAAATCAAGGTGAAGAGAGAAGAATTTGTCCACCCTGGATGGTTTCAGGGCTGCCTAGCTTATCTACAGAGACTTGAAGGGTGCTCCTTGAGAGACAATAATCTGCCCTCTGGGTTTGTGGCTTACAGGGAATGACTTCACTCCACTGGGCTGCGTTCCACAACAGACCTCAGCACACCCAGACTCTGCTGCACAAGGGAGCAGACCCAACTCTGGTGGACAAGGACTTTAAAACAGCTCTGCACTGGGCAGTACAGGTGAGTCACAGCACAGTCCCAGTGGGATGTTGACTGAGTTGGCTATTGTGGTGTCCTAAATACTCCTAAGGAAATTGTTTGGGCTGTGGAACAAGGAAATTGAATGCTAAGAATGCCCACTAAGCCCCAGCATAAGCCCCTGGATCAAGGATCTAGCATCTTCTTTGGAGACCAAGGCAATCCTAATAGAGGTTTAGTCCAGTTGCCCTAAAGTTTTCATTTATCTCAGCGAGACTATGTGTATGCATCATGTTGAACTCGTGCCTAATTTTTTTTTTCACTAAATCAGGGTTGCAGAAACCAGCAGCTTATTTGCAAAGGCCTTTGGAAATAAAAAAAATGTAAACACAAGTTAAAACACATTTAAAGAGCTACAGCCATGAAATCATTACGTGAAGGGTTGAGACCCTACTTCTCTGGAGACTGGAGAACACATGGAGCTAAACACATTTCCTGTTGAGCTGTATGTTCCTATCTCATATGCAAAAGGACATTGTCAAATACTCAGGCCACCATTAGAGAAACGAACCATATGGATTTAATATGACATTAAAAACTGTATTATGTAATTGTTAGTAAGTGATAGAAAATACAGCATAATTTACTGGTTTTCCTAGTCTACTGCAGAAGGCTGTCCAGATGAAATTTTATGTTTTTACTTGCTCTCTTGCCATATCAAGTTCCAGTATCAGTGTTCAAAACACATGCACAAAAGCTAAGCCAAAATAGAACTCATGAAAAAAGTCCAGCAACATTTTCTTACAACTACCAAATATTTGCATCCTCATATTTTGGTCTAAGTTTGCTCTTCTTAAAAGAAGTGTCAACAAGGAAATTTTAAATTTCTGAACTGCCATATACTATATTTCTTATGGGGTGAGGACATCTGGACAAATAATCTGTTTCCTTCAACCACAGCCTCACAAAGATTAACCTAATAGGCCTAACTTATTTTTTCTGAAGTAGAGGTATATTTTGGCCTCTGCAACTGGTATTATCTAAAAAGTTTTGCACTTCTTTAATCCAAATCAATCTTAAATTGGACTTGTTATTTGCCTTAGGAGATTAAAGGTATCTACTCTACTACGCATTCTTACCAGGCTTATTCCAGTTCTGTCTGCTTCCAGCAGGAAACCTCTGAATGTCACAGAAACTCCTGCATGATAGCCAGTGATCTGTATCATAGCTCTGGGGACAAACTGTCCAACAAACAGAAAGACAAAAGTGAATCCACTTTATTACCTCCTTCATTAAGCTTTCCCTGATTCTGTATTTTGTATGTTTCATTATTTAACTCCACTGCTAACTCTCACCTCCACCCCTCTCTCACAAATGTGCAGAATAACTCTTGAGAAATGGGGAAATGGAAACTGCACAAAATCCACTTGGCCTCAGGTTGAAGGAAGTCACAAATACCTTCTTTACTCTTCCTTTAAGCTGCTCCTGGAAATGAAGGGGAAGTGTGCAGAGTGACACACACACCTCCCTTTTCCCCTTGCTGTGAGATTTCTGCCATGAAACCTTATAAATTGCTTCTTCCATCCACATGCTTCTACACATTCTAAGTCCAGAAGTGGCAGTTGGAATACCAGAGCATGAAATAGATCTGTTCATATTTCTCTTACTCAAGAAAGAAAATTCCTGCCAGAAAAACAAAACAAAACAAAACAAAATACTTTCAGCCAGTGCTCTCTGCTGCCCTTTTAGGCCCAGGAGATTTGGATACTTTGGACAGGCATGACTTTCTCTGCTGTGACAGAGAGCAGAACAACAACTCTGCTGGATGGGATCATCATTATGTCTAATAGCCTCCTCTGTGACTGCTGGAAAAGGGATATTTTTCCTTTAAGAATTGTATAAATATCTTCAGAGAGCAAGAGACTCACAGAGCTCAGGCACTACAGCTGCAGGGATTATTTTTGGCTGAATAAGGCCCGGTGTTTAATTTCTTTTTTTTTTTTTTTTAATGCAGTAAGGGGAAGACCAGACACTGTACAGAAACTTATTTCAGAAGTTGCAGGAAAGAGGCAGTTCGTGCACACTGGGCTGAAACAAACAGTAGGACCATACAAAAACCATTGCCCATCATTCAAACCCAAATTCTTGGGCATGGGGCATATTTCATATGAAATCATTGTTCCATGCTGACTCTTTCAAAGACTGCATGTTTGTGGCTTTGTCTTCCATCAGGCACCATGGGATGATCAGTCCCATCCGTGTAACCAGACAGACCTTGTCAGCACCAAGGTCTGCTCTTTTGAAAAGCTCAGACCTCCTGCCATTCAGGTTCACATCTTAAGTGCAAATGTATCAGTGTAGAAAATGCTGATCATTACTGTTTGGTGTGAGACTATTTCATGCCACATTTTTTACACATGCATTTCTATGTGCTGGTGCAGACAGGTCTATTAGAAGTGTCTCAGGAGGTATTATTTCTCTCCTTTTACTTCAGCCAGCATTAATTACTGTAATGAAAAGGAAACACACCTTTGAAACACAAAACTATTAACTGATATTGGACAAATGGTAAAACCATTCTAACAATTCTAGATAATGGTATTATTGAAATCCTAGTAAAATATAATATATACCATACAGCATGCACTATCACGCTACATAGTACTATACTATAACAGTATTAGTAATACCTTGGAAACAGCCTGGGAAGATCTGGAATCTTGCCACATTGCATTGCCAGTTGTCCTTTTTTTTTATCAGAATTTTCTTTGTCTCATTCTCAAAGTCTCTTGATTATGTGAAAATATCAGGTTTCCACTAAAGGATAAACAAAAATCCAGATTTTTTCTTTTAAGTGAAGAAATAAAATTTTGTAAGAATAAAAAGAAAGTAACTAGAAAGAAGCTATTAAAAATAATATTCTGCCATGGGGAGATGTGCTTATGATTTTTTAAGAGGCTGATTTGGAGTGCAAAGTTTTAAAAAATTAGAAGCCAGTGTATCTGTTCCATAGCAACAATGCAGTTATTTCATTCCTCTGTTTCCAGAGAAGAGAGTGAAATACCTGCATATATAAAACACACTGTAAAAGAAATGCATAAGTAAGTATTAATTTGTGTTTGGCTAACCAAGCACTGCAGTTTGTCTGTAATTACTTGGAAGGTGAAAGCATACTTAAATGTCAGGATCTCTAGGAAAGAATGTCTCTACTGCTACAAGACAGCTCGAGGACACAGCTGGCTATCCAGCCAGAGCAGAGAAAGGGGCCAGGGAAGTCAGTGGTGGCTCAAATTTCTCCCAAGGGATAACTTCTCTATGCCCAGCACCCCATTTTCTCATGTGGGCTACATACAGTAGAAGAATTCAGAAGGACTTCAAAAACCTCTTAAAACCCATCTCTACTGCAGATATGTCTGTTGTTGGACTGGCCAGAAAAAATGCATTTGCTGAGCATGTTTCACTGTCTAGTTGGTTTCAGGCAGATTTCTTTCCCTGCAAAATTGTCCTTCACTGCTCCTTGTTTCATGCAGTTTTCTAAAGATGGCCTGAAAGGAAGAGTAGTGATTTCCTTTTTTATGTCATTAAGCTTTAAAGACAATTTTGACTGTTAACAAACTAGTCAAAAAGATATTCGATTTTCATTTTTTAAGTATACACTTTAAAAATCACTTTCTTGTGTAAATATTATCGTTCCAGCAATGGTACCACTCTTGCTTGTGGAGCCTGGAAATCGCATAGCAGCAGGGATCTACAGAGTGAGCTGTCAAGTTGCAAAACAAGATGGAATACAGTTTGCAAATAGCTTTGAGTAAGAAATAAGCTTGGTTTAATACCAACAGAAGCTTTTTCCATAAAGTGCCCTAAATATTTGTGACACTGTCAATTCACCGTGCAACAGTGAATTAAATGTGCTTGAGTCCTGGGTCTGGCACTGAATTATCATGGGACAATCTGTGTCCCTGCTGTTATATTCTCTTATTCTCCCAAACAGGATGGTCATACACAGACCACCTACTGGGAATGATCTGGCACCCATATCAGCTCCAGGAACTGGTAAGGAAAATATAATTGACCCTGACTTAAACCATGCCAGGGAGGCTTTTAAGAATTGTTTGGTACAGACAACAAAATTCCAGTGCTGAAGGATGTTCCTGAGTTCTACTTCATTTTTTATATAGCTGCAACATATTTCAACACTTTAAGTTATCACAGAATCACAGCAGAATGTGCTGAGTTGGAAGAGACTCACGTGAATCACTGAGTCCAACTCCTGGCCCTTCAAAGGTCACTCACAATGCCTGAGAGCATTGTCAAAACATTTCGTGAACTCTGCCAGGTTTGGTGCTGTGATCACTGCCCTGGGGAGCCTGTTCAGTGCCCAAACACCCTCTGGGTGAAGAATCTTTTCCTGATATCCAATTTAAACCTTCCAATACAACTCCAGGCCATTCCCTTGGATCCTGTCACTGGTCACACAGAGATCAGTGCCTGCCCCTCCTCTTCCCCTCCCAAGGAAGTTGTAACTGCAGTGAGGTCTCCCCTCAGTCTCCTCCAGGCTGAACAGACCAAGTGACCTCAGCTGCTCCTCCTGTGACCCCTCAAGGCCCTTCTCAGTCTCTGTTACTCTCATTTGGATGCTCTCTAATACTTTAATAAGTTCATTACACTGTAGCACCCAGAGGTGCTCCCAGCACTGGAGGTGAGGCTGCCCCAGAGCAGAGCACAGCAGGACAATCCCCTCCCTTGCCTGGCTGCTGATGCTGTCCCTGATGCCCCCAGGACACGCTTGGCCCTCCTGGCTGCCAGGGCACTGCTGGCTCATGTTCAACTTGCCATGGACCAGAAGCCCAGGACCCTTTCCATGGCACTGCTCTCCAGCCTCCCATTCCCCAGTCTGTACATCCAGGGTTGCCCCATCTCAGCTACAGAATCTGGCACCTTCCTTTGTTGAACTTCATAGGTTAGTGATTGCCTATCTCTCTAATCTGTAAAGCTCTTTCTGCAGGGCCTCCCTGCCCTGGAGGGTGTCAACAGCTTCTCCC